ACATGATAAAGTCTGCCCTAGTTTGTCCAGTTAGAAAACACACACATGATAAAGTCTGCCCTAGTTTGTCCAGTTAGAAAACACACAAACATGACAAAGTCTGCCCTAGTTTGTCCAGTTAGAAAACACACACACATGACAAAGTCTGCCCTAGTTTGTCCAGTTAGAAAACACACACACATGACAAAGTCTGCCGTAGATCTAATTTGTCTAGTTAGAACTTTTTCCAAAGTTGAACTGGCTACAGATACATATAAGTCCTCAACATTTCTTTATGCCTCTCTGTGACTGGTCATAAAGAAAGCTATTATTTCATCATTTCCTAGGTCGGGAGTTGGGCTGGGGTTGTGTTCTCACAGCAGCTTATCATCATGGGAAAATGTCTGGACTGAACACGGAAAAACTAAGTTAAGATGTCTGAAAATTTCTAAAATGAAGTGAAATCATTTTGAGGAAGACATTTATTTAATGGTGAAAAATGCCTTGCAAAACAGTAAATTAATTTTATGCTTCTAGAATTAAAATCCAAAGATTTTGAACAAGACCTTTATTGATAGCCGAAAAGGTCTCCAGGACTTGTTACATTAATTCTACATTTCTAGAATTTAAATTGAAAAATTTTGAACCTGACATCTGTTAAATTAATTTCATATTTCTGAAATTAAAAGTACAAGATTTTGAACAAGACATTAATTGAAAGCAGTCATTGAGTTCATCAGATGGGGGCGGGAGTTGTTCCATTTCTCCACCTGACCTCTGACCTCTGAGCACACAGCTGCACAGGTCACACAGGTCAAATAATTCACAGCGGAAACTTTCACCATAACAACAAGCACACAGCAAGAGGTGAACACAGCAGGGAGAGAGGGAGGGACAGAGAGGGAGGGACAGAGAGGGAGGAATAGAGAGGGAGGGACAGAGAGGGAGGGACAGAGAGGGAGGAATAGAGAGGGAGGGACAGAGAGGGAGGGACAGAGAGGGAGGGACAGAGAGGGTGGAATAGAGAGTGCCAGAGAGGGAGGGAGAGAGAGGGAGGAATAGAGAGGGCCAGAGAGGGAGGAATAGAGAGGGCCAGAGAGGGAGGGAGAGAGAGGGAGGGACAGAGAGGGTGGAATAGAGAGGGTGGGACAGAGAGGGTGGGACAGAGAGGGTGGAATAGAGAGGGTGGAATAGAGAGGGTGGAACAGAGAGGGTGGAATAGAGAGGGTGGAATAGAGAGGGCCAGAGAGGGAAGGAGAGAGAGAGAGGGAGAGAGAGGGAGGGACAGAGAGGGTGGAATAGAGAGGGTGGAATAGAGAGGGTGGAATAGAGAGGGCCAGAGAGGGAAGGAGAGAGAGAGAGGGAGAGAGAGGGAGGGACAGAGAGGGTGGAATAGAGAGGGTGGAATAGAGAGGGCCAGAGAGGGAGGGAAAGAGAGAGAGAGGGAGGCAGAGAGAAGGCCAGAGAGGGAGGAATAGAGAGGGCCAGAGAGGGAGGGACAGAGAGGGAGGGACAGAGAGGGAGGGACAGAGAGG